TTGCCTTCGGTGATTTTGATAAATGTCCAGATTTTTTACATACGTAACATTTCTTCTCGGCGTTGCACATTGACCCGATTCCCTTCGATTTAGTTACATTGCCTTTGCCTGCCAGAAAAACGTCACCGTTTATATAATAAAAATCATTAAGTACATACTTTTCTTTAGTCATATGACTACTGCAGCCGCTATCGAGTACCCAATTTACTTTACGTCCATCGCTTACATAGTTCGCTTCGCTCGCTTCAAATGCATAGTCGTCAGTAGCTTCATTGGCTTTCTCAATTCGATCGTTGCGTCTATCCTGGCGATTTTGTTGCATACGGCCATGTTGTTGTACGTCACTGCGTTGATTTCCGCGCCCTCTGTCTTGATACCGATCCTTCCTCTCGTCATCGTTATTAGACCTACGGTACCAGCATGATTTTGATAAATGTCCAGATTTTTTACATACGTAACATTTTTTCTCGGCGTTGCGTTTTCCATCTCTCACAACATAGTAAACGAGTTCTCGATCTGAAATATTAACACCTAGGCTTTTACATTTTGATGCCATACCTCGTGCACGTGCGACGTAATCTGCGATCGTCTCTTTTTCGTCCATTAATATACTGCGTAATTCGACTGTGGCGTCGATTTTGGAATCTTCAATGCGTCCCACGTATGTTTCTCTGATTTTTGTCCACAGATCCTTTGCACTGGTTTCGCTTGCGAATTGCATAGCCTGGTCATCGGACAATGTTAGTTTTATAATGGATACAACGTCTTCGTTATCGCTGTCCCATTTTCCCCGCGCAATTTCGTCGGTTACAGGTCGATTCGTTTCAAGAACGTATTTCACCTTCTTCAGGCATAATATAGCTTCTAATTTCATAGACCAAACGTAATAGTTTGTACCCGTAAGTTGAGGAACAGAACTCATTGGTATTTTGTCCATTTTTCTTTCGTGGCGTTACTTTTTACTTTCCGGCGTGTCAGCTTCCTACCTTGATTTCGGCTTATAGCTCCTTTATTTCTTCTGCAATTTCCTTCCTCGGTCGCTGGAACCACGCTCTGCTACCAGTATTGTTGGGTTTTTAATTAATATTATATCTTTCACTTGTAATATACTTTTAATCTTTACGGATTACAAAATGCACGTGTGCATCGCACCACGCGCCACGCCACGATGAAGACTCCACTTTTATTCTTTTGTCTCCCACTGCTGCCAACTCGAATATTACATATATTTCATACAAAAACAATAGAACATAAATGGCGCGAATAATATAAAGCGCGACGCAATTCTCCACAATAATATTAATATAACTTTAGTGTATAGTTAGAAGTAATATTAAAAGACAATGGAAGGTTTTAACATGAAGAGAAACATTAAACCGTTTGACGGTGAAAAATACAGCGTCTGGAAATTTAGAATTCGCGCTTTATTAGCCGAACTCAATTTAATAAGTGTTATTGACGACGAAATTCCGGATATAATTAGTGAAGAATGGCTTAAAATGGATAGAACTGCTAAAAATATAATAATAGAGTATTTAGCAGACTCTTTACTTAGTTTCGTGCAAACAGAAGACAGTGCTAAAGAAGTGTTTCGGAATTCTGTATACGAGCGAAAAAGTGTTGCTACACAATTATCGTTAAGAAAACAATTATTAACCTTAAAACTCCAGAGTGATGTCCCGTTAATAAAACATTTTACGGTTTTTGAAAATTTGATTTCGGAATTGTCAGCAGCGGGTGCGAAATTGGAAGAAATAGACAAAGTGTCACATCTTTTATTAACGTTACCTTCGTGCTACGATGGTATAATAACAGCTACAAAGACTTTATCGGAAGACAATTTAACACTAGCATTCGTAAAAACAAGACTCTTAGACCATGAGGTTAAGTTAAATAGTAAGAACCGTGACACGAGTTTAAAAGTGTTACAGACCACAAAAGGACAATCGACGAAAAGGAAAAGTTTTGAAATATATAACAATTCAAAGAAGCAGTGCAAAAATTTTAAAAATAAACCTTGGTTTTCAAATAATAAAAAGACGGAACAGATAATTAAATGCCACCAATGTGGAAGAAAAGGACACATAAAAAAAAGACTGTTTTTATTATAAGAGGGCGCAAAAATACAGCGCAAATAATCAAAATAAAACGGCCCAAACTACTCAGATAATAAAACCGTCAACTTCAAAAGAATCTAATACCTCACAACCTAATACATCAGGATTTGCGTTTATGACTGGAAACTATTCAAATGAGAAAACAGCAAAGGACAACAAAATAGTTTTTATTCTTGATTCCGGCGCATCTGATCATCTAATCAACCGTGAAGACCTAACAAGAAATTTCACAGTTTTGGACAAGCCAATAAAAATTTCTGTGGCGAAGAACGGCACGTATATTGAAGCAGTTAAAAAGGGCTCAATGGAGGTTATAACTAACATCGGTATTCAAGGAACCATTGACGACGTCTATTACTGCCCAGATGTCCCATACAATTTACTGTCGGTTCGGAAAATTCAGCAGGCCGGGATGACTGTTACCTTCGACACCACAGCAGGCCGGGATGACCGTTACCTTCGACACCACTGGAGTAAAGATAAGTAAAAGTGGTAAAATAATTATGTCGGGTAAGCCACTGAATAATTTATCAAGTATAGAATTTGTAGTTAAAACAAATATGATACATTCTGTTGCTAATATAAATTTTAAGTATTTATTTTGCTTGATATTTTCGTTTCCAGCTTACCACAACAATTGATACTAGTCCGAACCATTACACTGCCATTTTCCATGACATGACGACTCACTGTACATACTTCTCCGTAAACTGCAAACCACAATTTTTGTCTTGCTCCCATAACTAGAGTACGGAAAAAAATGAAAGCATATTTAAAATGATGACTTTGTAAGTTCGGCTCTTTCACAATTTTTATAATATGTGCTTAAAAGCACGGTACTAGCTTCTTTAAGGCTTATAACTGACTGACCCAGTGATGGTCAAACACTCGTTAGAAAACGGAAAGAAGTATTTATAGCGAGAGACAATGAAAAAAGTGGAAAAGACGTAGAAAACTAATGAAAAATTCGGAAAAACAGACATATCAGAGAAGAATCACAAAAAAGAAAGTGAAGAGGTTCGCAAGGGCTTAAGGAGAGTGTCTCGCTGCGGCCATCTTGCTCGTTTACATCAGCGTCTGTCTCACTCCTGCACCTTCAAAAATTCGACTTTATTCAGTGTAGCGGCACATGGTTCGCAGCGTTGGTAGAAATTAGCATTGACCGTTTACAGATGTTTAGGCGTAAGCAGTTAAGCCTACCCTAAAGCCTGTAAGTCGGCGAAATTATTTTATGTCTTTTGGAACTGCGTAGCGGAATAGGTTACCCTACCATAAACGCTGCCAGCCATGTTCCGTTACGGTTGATTAGGCCACATGGTCAGCGCGGGCCGGAAGGACACTTTCGACCAACAAAATTATAATTTACAACACTTTTTCCCCCGCTGAAAATGGGAGGACTCAGCGAAGAAAATAACTCCACCTTCTACTATGTAAGGAGTTACGCCTTCTCCAATAAAATAATTTTAAGAAAAAAAATACGCCGACTTCGACATGCACTAAAAAGTATAAAGTAATTTCTATTTCATTCAATCATACAATTACGTAACAGATATGAATGAAACCTATTTACTCGTTAGGTAGTATACTAAATACATTTCAACCTTTTCGGAGGCGGCGCATAATCAAAAATACCTCAGTAAACGTTGCTGCCAATAACCAGTTGATTGTAGTATGAGGTATTGGAAATTGAAGTATTGCATTGGTATTGTCTCACGGATACACTAATACCCGGGTCACGTTACATTTCCCGGCGAGCGAACCTAGGGCGTCTCGAGGGGTCTTCCCCCCAGTGGTGGGGATAACATTTTTGCTTATATCCGAAAGGACATTTTTGCTTATATAGAATGAACACTGTATATGTATACATTATACGTATACAAACATCTATGTTATTTTATATGTAACAATTAGGCCACAGACAGGTGTAAGGTTTATACAAAATAAAAGTACTTCTCACAGTCCCCATCCAACCATTACAATAGGCAAACATACAAAAATCTGCACTCCGCTCATCGACACGCTCGCCGATTCTTTGTTCGCACGCTCGCTTCTTCCAAACTTACCAATTTCGACTATTCGACTCACATTCCTCACTCTGTTTATACATCGCCGTCCCAGCAGAGGCTCTCCCACCACTCATCCTATTTATTACAATTTCTATACTGTACAAATCTTACAGATTCGGCCAGCCTGACATGATTGTTCGTCCCCGAATAATATACTTGTTTTTGTAAATTTTCGTAAATATTTATTTTATACTAATACTTAATCGAAAACTAATAAACTAATGCTAAACTTAAGGGGTTTAACGCTTAAAAAAGGCGTATTTTTACTAATTCTTTTTAATATGTCAAATGAAATATTTATTTCAAACAATTTAGTAAATTAAAAGATACATAATTAATGAGTACTTTGTGAAATTTTTGTTTAAAAATGTTGAATATTCAGCCATTGGGACCTCATTTCCGTTGATCTCTCAAAAAAAAGGTCTCTCGGCGTGATCACGATAACTCTTGACTGGTTCATCTGAAATTAAAAAACAATATAGTTTCTGTTAGCAGGTATATAAAGCTCGTACTTGAACGAAGGAAAAAAAAAAATTAAAATTAGAAATTTTGGCGGAGTTATAAACAAAAAGTTTCATTTTTTGGTCACATTTTCACCACGTATTTCCTCGTAAAATAAGTTGTGATAAAAAGAAACAAAAATCCTTCGTTCAAGTACTAGATAATGTTATTTTGAAGAAGTGTGCAAAATTTGAACAAGATCGGTTCATAACTTTTTGAGAAATCATGTCCACCGACTTCAAAAATGAAGTTTCGAGAAAAACGCGATTGAAGTTTTAAGTTGAAATAACATGCAGAAAAAATTTTTTTTTTAAACTTACATAGAATCATCGATTCCAGCACCATAAAGTAAGGAACCTGCTGCAGCGGCAATATCTAGGGCATCCTTTTGCTCGTGTCTGTGACGGATCCTAGCTTCTCGAGGCCCAGCGTCGGCTTTTTTCTCGGCTACGAGTATGCGATTCTCGTCTTCTTTTCGAATGCGATTCTCGTCCTCTTTTCGGGCATACTCATGGCTGTTTCGGCCAAGTTTAACACCCATGCCGTGCATAAAAAGTAGTAAACCTGCGATTCCTTCGTTGAAGGTGCCAGCAGCGACAAATGCAGCGATTTCAACTATTTTCGAACCAGCAGGAAGTATTTTTGGAGTAATTTTCCAAATTAATTGGTTGAAACTTTCGTTGTTCTGCGTAAAGCCACCGATGCAACGCTCCAAAAGCTCTTCTTTGCTGAGCTCTTCGTAAATGGGCTTGATAGCTACAGAAACGTCATTTGGTAGTGGATTATAATCATGTTTGAATGAGGACAGTGTGTTCATAGTTGAAGCACGCTGCCAAGTGCACCATGAATCAGGGCTGTTTGGGCATTTGTTGTGTTGTGGATTTTTATCTGTGGAGGTGTAATGGAAATAAGTTGCCCATATAGCGTTTTTCATATTTTCTACCGAATCAGAGTTTCTTCTAATAGCTAGACCGTAATAAATAGTTAACTTGTCAATTAATTTGCCAGTCAGTCTGCCTTTGCCCGAAAGAGTTTTTTTCCTTATTGTTTTACCGGCCTTGGTTTGTTTTTCTTCTACAGTTTTGTTCACCAAATCGCGCAAGCGGGTGCCCATCCTCTTTTGCACATGGCCTACGCATTCTTTTTTGGTTATTAAAAAGTTTTTGCCGTAAGGTTCTGCATTGATTATTCCGGTATATGTTTTGGAGTCCCCGTCACCAATATAATTTTTGTATTTGAGGCCGTATTTTTCGAAAGATCGTTGAAACATTGCAACGATTGATGTAACTTCCATATTACCAGCTGGTCCTTGGTGATTGGCGCTACATTGGTTTTTTTCAATATGTTCTTCTTGCCACTCTTCAAATTCTGCTGTATTCAGTTTTTTTTCCACGCTTCACAAAACTTGCAATAGGAGCATTTCACAAAAATATCTAAAACTTTTCCGGAATAATAGCCAATTACTGTAGACACTCCGTATAAGGACGAATATCCGCGCTTTCTCCAAGTTCCATCACTTGACACGGTAACATCTGTCGTATCTTGAATATCGTTTTCTTCACACGTTAATTTTTTTTCTTCTTTTGCAGCAGAGAAAAAAAGTGATTCGGCGACCATCTTGGCACATTCATGAATTTTATCAACATAAAAGTCGTATGTTGATTTATTTAAAAAAGAACAACTTATGTCCATTAGGCCACAAAATTTTTTGCATCCGGCAAGTCCTAAGCCTAATATTCTCATTACAAAGATAAACCGGCGATTTACTTCATACGATTTACCAATTTTCGCACATGATAAAATGTATCTGGGTTGGCACTTTTCACACTCCACCACAATTTTGAACCCTAGACCAAATTTAACGCACTGTTTAAAATTCACTTTGCCATTGCACACTTTGTCCTCTCCATTTTCATTTATTACATTCGAGCACTTCACAAATGTCGATAGCGTAGAAAAAACTAAAAAAAAGTCTATAAGTGCATATTGAAGAGTACCGTCCTCTGGCACGTATTTTTCTTCTTGACTTTTCAGTTTTTTTGCCGATGTACTGGCAAAAGATTCATCATGTATCTCTGCAGTTTTCGGATTAAATACTTGTTTCCTTTCTTTTGATAAATCTTTTCTCTGAGCACCAGATACTCGTTCAGATCTAGTCACTTTACTCATTTTGCAAATAAATGAATGAAAATCTCGGTAAAAATTTACAAACACTTATAACAAAATAACGAGAGAGAGTACCTACTTGTTTCTTCGGTGAGTAAAACAAGATAGAACCCGCGTCTTAACTTACGTACAAATATATACAACTTGCCGGTACACTAGGAAGGGAAAAAAATGAAAAGTGGGAAAGGGGGTGACTTTCCTCAAATTGGGAATTCTCACTTTACCCTGGCCAGGGGTCATCCGGCCCAAACCGTTGCACGGTGACCCATCCGGCATTCTACCTCTTATAAATTACCGTAACAGTAATAAACCCAAGGATAAAAAGAAAGGAAAAAAAATACAACTACGCCAACCTCGGGTTCAATGTGCAAACCAGCCGCGTAAAAATGGACAAGCAATGGTTCCTTGGTCTTTTATTGCTGCTATAATAAACCTTTAATATCCAAAAGTCTCTTAAATCTATAAATAATGTCTACACAACTAAAATATTTAAAACTAGTTGCCCTTAGAAAAAGAAAACAAGCGAGAAAGACAAACAAACAATACCTAGGTAGCTGCTTCAATAAACTTGCGACACGCCAGGCTGACGTGGCCTGACGGGCGAAACTTCCGAAGGGTCTATCTCTTAGAATTTTACTCTAATCGATTTAAAATTTTGGGAGAATATTCTAGACACATTGTACTATTTAATAAGATAAAAAAAAAATCGATTTTTTGACATTTTCAAACCCACTTAACCCCTTAAACAATAATTGCATATTTTCGAGACTAATTATTGTCATTAAACGAATCAAGATCACTGTTGGTTTCCGATTTCTCATTTTCTGACATATTGCATTGTTTCAAATTGGGATCACTAATTCGAATCCACGGTTTCAATTTATCCGCCGATAGAATTGTATTGTACGGTGTTTGAGTAATACTATATTCTGGGATATCTGTCACCACAAAACGTTTGTTTCTAAGAACAGCTTTTATTTGGTATGGACTTTTAAATTTGGGGGTCAATTTCGCATTAGTTCCCGGGTTGTTTTGCAAGACTTTTACCAGTACCAAATCTCCTGCCTGATACGGGGTGATTTTCTTATGCCGTTTATCATACCTATACTTATTGTATTCTTGAAGTTTGCGGTTTACTTCTTGTGCAGTTATTCGTATTTCAGCCCGTTGTTTTTCAAAGTCATGATCTAATTTAGTTAAGTTGTCAATTAAAATGCATAATGACTCGTCTTCCGGATGACGTTGATTACAACCGAATGGAACCTTACTAGGCGTAGAATTAATAGCTTTGTTGAAAGTATTATTAATCACATACCGTACCGATTCCAGATGCTATTTCCATTTTGACGGCTCGGTTGTTACTTTAGATAACGTGGATTTTAAAAATCGGTTTACTCGCTCCATTTGACCGTTAGCCCATGGAGATGCCACTCCTGTCATAACATGGCTAGTACTCCTATCATTTAAAAATTTCGAAAATTTCTCAGACGAAAACGCTGTTCCTCGATCGCTGACAATTCTTTTTGGGTAACTTATAAGTCCTAATAAAGTTATTAAAGCCTTAATTGCTTCATCCGTAGACTTTGTTGGGAAAAGCCACACAAACTTTGTAAAAGAATCTACATCTACTAAAATATATTTAAACTTATCGCTAGTTTCTTCAAGAGGGCCAAAGTGATCAATATACAATAGTTTGCATCGGAATTGGATCTTTTTCATAAATTTGCATTTCTCCTTCTGGTTTTCCTGAAGCTATAGAGTGAGACAGACATTCTACACAATTGTCAATATATTGTTTGATCTTGAACTTTAAATTGGGAAACCAATAATGATCTATGAAACCGTGAAACGTTTTTTCCCTACCAACATGTCCAACGCAATCATGGTATAGTCTGATGACCTTGTTTACCATATTATTTGGCACTACAAATAAATCCTTATCTTTATAATTATAAAATAAAAGACCATCTATTAGTTTAAAGTATTTGTCCCCATATAATTCGACACGTTCAGCAATTTCTCTCATCTTTGGATCAGCTAATTGCCTATACATCAATTCATCCTCATCGCTAACAAAGTTAATGGTTAAAATGTGCCGACTTAGAAAGTCAACGTGCACCATCTTATCCGAAGACCTGTGTACTACAGTAAATTTGTAATTCTGAAAATGTAATGACCATCTCAAAATTCGAGGATTAATGTTTATTTTCTTGAGGACTAGCGCCAATGAGTTGCAGTCTATTATAACTCGGAAAGTGATACCATGCAAATAAACGTGAAACCGTTCTAAAGCTTTTATTATACTATTGCAAGTGTTTCTAGTTCGTAACTGTGATACGCTTTTTCTGTTTCGCTAGTTGCTTTGCTAAAATATGCGATTGGGGCCATTTTTCCCGATTTTTGTCGTTGCAGCAAAATGGCTCCAAATCCTTGACCGCTTGCATCAGTATGCAATTCGGTCTCAGTCGTTGGATCATAAAAGCGTAATGTGTGAAAAGAAATTAATTCCCTTTTTAACAAATCGAAAAACTCTTTACATTTTTCATCGAAATTGAAATCTACACCTTTTTTAGTTAAGTGATGTAGTGGTTTCGCTTTTAAGGCATAATCCTTAATAAATTTACGAAAATAGTTGGTTAATCCCAGAAAACCTTGGACTTGTTTTAAATTTTTCGGATAAGGAAACGATGCAATGGCTTCTGTATGCCTTTGATTTAAAGTGACTCTATCGGCCGATACCATGTAACCTAAGAATTCAATTCTCTTCTTTAGGAATAAACACTTTGCGAAATTTAATTCCAGACTGTAACTCTTCAACGTAATGAGCACCCTCTTTCAGAATCTGCAAATTTTCAGATATTGTAGAAGTCGCAATTAATACATCGTCGATATATAATATTATCTTACCACTACGAAGTAACGTATCAAAAATATACAGGAGACGTTTCTGAAACTCTGCAGGCGCCTCGGAATATCCAAAGGGCATCTTAACGTATTCAAACTGACCATAAGGGGTTGCGAACGAAAAATATTTCGTATCGTCTGGATGTATATCTAATTGGTGAAAACCATCCTTTAGGTCCAGTTTGGTGAAAATTTCTTTTCCGCAGAACTGGTCTAGTTGCTCCTCGATTATAGGAAATGGAAATTTTTGCGGAAAAATGCGCTGATTCAGAGGCCGGAGGTCAACACACATACGCTTTGTACCGTTTCTCTTATTAACCAATACAACTCGTGAACAATACGGAGAGATGCTAGGTTTTATGATACCTCGTGCTAATAGATCATCAGTAATCTCTCGGAGTTCTTTTTTTTCCTGAAATGACATTCTTCTGGGTGAGTATCTGAAAAAAAAGTGTCTTTCAAATGCACTCTAATCATAAAATTATCTTTAATGGGCTCTAGTTTTTGAGAATCTATTTCGTGCAATATGGTTAGCAGCTGTTCTTTTGCGGAAAAATCTAAATCGTCATCCAGGTTTTCTCATACTATGTCATAGCAACTTCGTTCCTTTATCGCATCGATGGCAAGAACCGTGCTCACTTTAATGTTGCTATCGGTAGGAGCCTCAAATTCAAATGCACCGTTATGATAAGTTACTCGAATTTGAGTTTCGACAAAAAATTCTCTTCCTAGAAGCATGTCAAAAGAAATGGTATCATCGTTTACGACTAAAAGAGTGATATCGAACCATTGATCCTCTAATTTTTCGAGTTGAATCTGATCGCAAATTTTTCCATAAATCGTAAGGGAAGAATTATTAATATCCTTTAAATTTAAATCATCCCGAATATGCAATAACTTAGAGTCCGCAAAATGCTTAGTGTATACCGATTTTCTAACCAAACTGACAGGGCTACCTGTATCAACAAGTGTACGTAGTGGCTTACTCATATTACCTAAACTATAAACATTTATATACGGTACGTCTTTCCTCACGAAGTTTACGTTATTCGCTGCTGCTGACATCAGACAGGGTTCCTCCACTGAATCGGTATTTCGCGCCAAGGAGCCTTCACCTATTGGATCTTCCATTAATGCACCTTCCGCCAAGAGATTCAAGGTTGGATCTGGTGCTGCCGTCTTCTATCTTGGGCATCCATGGCTGAGATGACCTCTTTGTCCAGAGTTGTAGCATGTTGCTTGAGCCAGCCTTTGGCTTGATGACCCGTTTTCTTACAATATGTACATACAGGGTTTGTCCAATAAGTATCCGGACTGATTTTTTTCTGCTAGTTTGGTAGGTTAGGGAGCAATCTCTATTAGCTAGATCGATGCGGAAAGTTGTTATGTATAATAAAAATCTAGGTTCATTTGTTTTCCACCATTTGTTTCGTTTATATCGTGCTTGAAGTGGAAGCGTATTTAACGTTCGCGTCGAGAATCAAAATGCAACGAAACATCGAGCAGCGTTGTGCGATTAAATTTTGCGTTAAGCTAAATAAATCTGCTACGGAGACATTTAATATGATTCGTCAGGCCTACAAGGATGATTCCATGTCCAGAACGAGTGTTTTTGAGTGGCACAAAAATTTCAAAGATGGCCGTGAAGACGTTGAAGACGAGCAACGCGTT